ACTCCCTTTACCCTCATCAAAAATCTGTTTTGCTGCTGACCACTACCTCACTTAATCCATTCTCTCTTCTCTCAGCAACCCCTTCTCTCTGTCTTTTGTTTGTTTGTTTTTGGTAAGGCAGTCGGGGCTAAGTGACTTGCCCAGGGTCACACAGCTAGTAAGTGTCAAGTGTCTGAGGTAAGATTTGAACTCAGGTCCTCCTGACTCCAAGGCCAGAGCTCTATCCACTGCACCACTTAGCTGCCCCAATACCCCCTTCTCTTATACCCTGTTAGGTGAGATCAGTTTTTATACTTAACTGAATGTGCGTTATTCCTTCTTTAAGCCAATCCATTGAGAGTAAAGTTCAAGCATTTGCCAACTACCATTACCACCCATTTGCCCCTCCACTGTAAATGTTCTTTCCTCTACACCTTTTTCATGTGAAATAATCCCCACCCCATGTTTCCTTCCACCTTCTCCCAGTATATCCCTCTTTCTCACACCTTAATTTTAAAAAATCATCCCAGAATAGTCAACTCACACCCATGCCCTTTGTCTATGTATATTCCTTCAAAATGTCTTAATAATTTAAAAGTTTTTGGAAATTATATGTATCATCTTCCCAGATAGGAATATAAATAATTTAACCTTATTGATTCTCCTTTGGTTTCTCTTTCATGTTTACCTTTTTACACTCCTCTTGCATCTTGCATGAAAGCAAAATTTCCTGTTCAGCTCTGGTCTTTTCATCAGGAATGTTTGAAAGTTCTCTATTTCATTAAACATCTGATTTTTCCCCTGAAGGATTATAAACAGTTTTGCTTGGTAGATTATTCTTGTTTGTAATTCTAAGTCCTTTGCCTTTCAAAATATCGTATTTCCAGCATTCTACTCCTTTAATGAGGAAACTGCTAAATCTTGTGTGATCCTGACTGTGGTTCCATAATATTTGAATGGCTTCTTTCTGGCTGTGTGAAGTATTTTTAACTTGACTAGGGAGTTTTGGAATTTGATTACAATATTTCTAGGAGTTTTCATTTGGGAATCTCTTTCAAGAGGTGATTGGTGGATTATTTCTATGTCTATTTTACCCTCTTGTTTTGGGATATCAGGGCAGTTTTCTTTGATAATTTCTTAAAAGATGATGATGGGGACCTTTTTTTGATCGTGGCTTTCAGAAAGTCCAATAACTTTTAAATTATCTCTCCTGGATCTATTTTCCAGGTCAATTGTTTTTCCAATTAGATATTTTACATTTTCTTCTATTTTTTTCATTCTTTCTGCTTTATTTGATTGTTTCTTGATGTCTCATGGAGTCATTAGCTTCCATTTGCCCAATTCCAATTTTTAAGGATTTATTTACTTCAGTGTATTTTTGTACCTCTTTTTCCATTTGGCTAATTCTCCTTTTTAAGGAATTCTTCTTTTCAGTGGGTTTTTGTGCCTCTTCTGTTTTGGCTAATTTGGCTAATTCTGTTTTTTAAGGTCTTATTTTCTTCAGCATTTTTTGTGCCTGTTTGATCCAGCTGTTGACTCTATTTTCATAATTTTCTTGCATCACTCTCATTTCATTTCCCAATTTTTCCTCTAGCTCTCTGATTTTTTAAAATCCTTTCTGAACTCTTCCAGGAATTCTTGTTGGTCTTGTGTCCAATTCACTTTTTTTTTCTTTGAAGCTTTGCTTGTAGCTTGCTTTGACCTAAGATCACCAGGTACTAAGCATGAAAGGTAGAATTTCAACATAATTCTTCTGATTCCAAAGTCAGTCCCTTGTAGCACACTGACTCCTTCTCTAGGGCTTCTAGAGCATGAGCAGCTATATTTTCTAAGCTTTGCCTTTCCTAGGTTGGCTGTACCACTTTATTTGTCTAATGAGTAGAGTAAATGTAGATTTTCTCAATAAAAACAGCTCTGCATCCCCACCTCCTAGAGAACACCACTTCCTTCTTGAGTAAACTATTTCACTGATCCCTGATCACATTTGTTACCTTTGTATAATGGATCCAGTCTTTTATGGGTAGGCATAGGCATTTTTAGAGAATTTTACCTGGTTTTTATGCAAGGAATAAACAATATATAATAGATCATCTATTGTGTGTCTTCCTATTAGTAGGTTCTCTTAGACCCAGGCCATAAATATGTAGGCATTCTCCAAACTCAAGAGTTGCAATACAAGGACAATGCAATTAGTCCCTCTGTTGGCTGTTCCTCCATAGTTTTCAAAGGGAGTGTAAGCAATACAGCACATTCAGTGTTCATTGAGTAGGCATTGTGCTAGGCATTAGTCCCCTGCTTTCAAAGAGCTTACTTTCCATTAGTGGAAAACAATATGAGCACAAAAATTTAAATACAAAATAAATGCAAAGTGGATATAAGGCAATTTGCTAGGGGAAAGAGGGGTGGTGTAGGGAGCATTAGTACTAGAAATGAAATATCAGGTTAAGTATCCTGTAGGAGGTAGCCCTTGAGCTTTGAAAGAAGCTAAGAATTCTATGAGGCAGAGGTGAGGAGGAAGTGCATTCCCAGAATGAGGGACTTCCATCAAATAATAAAGAGTTATATGAGCAGAACCAAGAGAATATTTTGAACAATAACAGCAATATCGTTTGAAGAATAACTGTAAATGACTAAGCTATTTTGAATATTATAAATACTCAAATCAACTACAAAGGCCCTATGAAGGAAGATGTTATTCACCTCTAGGGAAAGAAAAACTAATAAATACAGTTGTTTATAATATGGTTTTACTTAATATAAATATGTATATACATATTTATACATATACAAATATATGTGTATATATATATACATATATATATATACACATACGTGTGTGTGTGTGTGTGTGTGTGTGTGTATGAAATGTTGGTCTTCTCTAGTGCAGGTTGGCAAGGGAGGGAGTTCAGAACTTAAAATGGAACAAAATTAAATTTAAAAATATTAGATTTCTCAGCTGCTGGTACAATCCTTAAGAAAGTTCTTCTGGGTAGGACAAAAAACATGGGAAATGTTCATATAAATGTTTTGTAAAGTTCATAAGACAGATGTGACAAAAAAAGACAAGCAGAGTGCATAGAACATTCCCTTTGAATTTAGATTCTGTGTAGAAATTATTTCATCTGGGTTGTGGTATGGTTGGCTGGGTTATACAGGGTCAACAGAGGCACAGAAAACTGTGAGGGAGGTGAACCCCCACAAGGATACTGACTCCCTGGACAGAGGGGAAATATTATGGTCACAGGACCTTGGGGGATGGGACTAGGCAAGGTAACAGGAATGCATTACCAGAACAGGCTGGAAAAGGTTCCTGAATCACTGTGAGAAGGAACTGACCACCCCTAGTTAGCAGCAACCTGGGACAAAGCTCCAACCTGTTTCCGGCATGCAGCACTCCATCTCCCAAATCTGAATATTTCCACTAATTGTCCCCCATGGCTGGAACTCCCTCCCTCTTCATCTCTACCTCCTAGTCCTCCTGGCTTCCTTTAAATCTCAGCTAAAGCCTCACCTTCAGCAAGAAGTTTTTCCCAGTCCTCCTTAACCATAGTTCCTTCCCTTGGGGACTGTTCCCAGTTGATCCTGCCTATATCTTGTTTGTATATAGTTATTTGCATATTGTCTCCTTCCTTAGACTGTGAGCTCCCTGCCAACAGGAGTTATTTGGTCCTTGCTTTGTATCCCCAGCACTTAGCACAGTGCCTGAAGTATGGTAATTTGTTGTTTAGTCTTTCATTCATGTCTGACTCTTCATGACCTCATGGACTATAGTATGCCAGGCTCTTCTGTCCTTCACTATCTGCTGAAGTCTGTCCAAGCTCATAATATAGTAAGTATTTAAAAAATATTAGTTGACTGAGTCACAGTGACCCCAGGAGTTGCAGCTACTCCCTGACACACACTAGCTGTGTAACCATTGGTAAGTCACTTAACTCTGAGTGCCACCAGACAACTTGAAAAAATTTAAGGTATGCTATGCTCAAAGGGCTATAAAACTGTGCACACCCTTTGATCCATCAATACCACTGCTAGGTCTATATCCCAAAGATGTAAAAAAAAAGAGAAAACAACCTATTTGTACAAAAATATTCATAGCAGCTTTTTCGTGGTGGCAAAGGATTGGAAATTAAAGGGATGTTCAACAATTCGGGAATGGCTGAACAAGTTGTTGTACATGATTGTGATGGAGTACTACTGTGCTTTAAGAAATGATGAGCAGGATGCTCTCAGAAAAACCTAGAAAGACTTACATGAAATGATGTGAAGTGAAGTGAACAGAATCAGGAGAACAGTGTACACAGTAACAGCCATATTGTTCAATGGAGAGCTATGAATGATTTAGCTATTCTTAGCAATACAATGACCCAAGACAATCCCAAAGGACTCATGATGAAGCATAGTATCTGCCTCAAGAGAAAGAACTGATGTCATTTGAATAGACTGAAGCATGCTATTTCTTTCTTTTGTTATTTTCCTTTTGAATCTTCTAGTACAAAATGACTAATGGGGAAATACTTTATATGAATAAAAAAGTGTTAGTTATAGATAAGTTGCCAATCTGGGTCAACAGAGGGATTCCCAAACTCTGAGCCAACTACACCAATGAAGTAACAGAGTCACCTCTGGGAGAAAAAAGAAAAGGCAATCATTCCAATTCAAAAATTGTGATCCAGTCATCCTATCATAGGACATCTTCACCTGTACAAAAAGCAGGTTGAGACTGGCCTTTTAATGACAGGACTCAATGGATGGAAAACCTCAAACTTATTCCACAGAGCAAAGAACAGATTTAATTAGACTTAATTAAATCAAGGTGATTTTTTAAAATGCTATTTATAATTTTCACAATACCTTGGTATTAGCCAATCAGAGATTCACCATGCAGCTGGCAACAAGGAAAAAATGCTAAATATTTGGTAAATACAGCTGCTGGAGGTATATAAAGGGCTGGTGGGACAAAGGACAGTCACATTTCAGAAACTTCTCTTTACTAGAAGACAAGAAACTGAGCTCCAGACACCATGGCCTGCTGCAACTCCTGCTCTACCAGCTTCTGTGGCTTCCCCAGCTTCTCCATTGAGGGGAACTGCGGATCTAGCTGTTGCCAAGACAGCTGTGGGTCCAGCTGCTGCCAACAGGGAGGCTATGGGCTTGGCTATGGGTCTGGCTATGGGTCTGGCTATGGGCTGGGCTCTGGCTCTGGGATCGGCTGTGGCTCCAGCTGTGAGACCACCTGCAGGACCAGGTGTTATGTTCCCGAGTGCTGTGGAGGCGTGAGCTGCCGCACCAGATGGTGCCGCCCAGACTGCAGGGTTGAGGGTACTTGCCTGCCACCTTGCTGTGTGGTCAGCTGCACTCCTCCATCTTGCTGCCAGCTCCACCATGCCCAGGCCTCTTGCTGCCGCCCATCCTACTGTGGCCAGTCTTGCTGCCGTCCAGCCTGCTGCTGCTACTGCTGTGAGCCCACCTGCTAAGGACCAGGATCTATGGTTTACAAAGAAATTGACATTTGCAAGAAATTGATATAAGTTGAATGCACTATATAGTAGAGTTACGAAGATTATGAAGAAGCCTTGGTCTTTCCTGTTTTGAAAATGCATTTAAAAAAATTTTTCAAATGCATTCTTCTAAGACTTCCATAGGCTGAGACAATCCACAAACTGAAGATGGATTTTTCTGCAGCATCTTGATCTTCAGAAAACACTTAAAATTGGCACAGAACATTGTCCAGTTGCTCTTTATTTGAACATTTTTTTCTATTCTCTTAATTTTTCTCCTATTTTATTTATTCTTGCATATCCTCTGTTAATTTCAAATAAAGTCTGTTAGCCTGCAAAGGAAATTTGACCATGGTCTTTATTTTATTTTTAAATGTAATTACATTTGGAGCTCATGCTGCTAGGTACTACAGTGCAGGGGTGGTAAACCTGTGGCCTTGAGGTCGCACGAGGCCCTCTAGGTCCTTGGGTGTGGCCTTTTGACTAAGTCCAAGTTCTACAGAGCAAGTCCTTTTATTAAGGGGATTTGGTCTGTGAAATTTGGATTCAGTCAAAGGGCTGCACTTGAGGACCTCACATGTGGCCTTGAGGCTGCAGGTTCCCCAGCCCTACTATACTAGATAGAGAGCTGGACCTGAAGCCAGGAAGACCTCAGTTTGAATACTACCTTAGACAACTAGTTGTGTGACCCTGAGCAAGTCACTTAACCTATCTGTGCTTCAGGTTTCTCACCTGTAAAATGAAAGTATTAGACCTGATGATCTCTAGGCAGTTAGGTGGAGCAGTAGATAGAGTGCCAGGCCTGGATTCAGGAAGACTTGATTCAAATCCAGCCTCAGATACTTATTGGTTGTGTGACTATATAGGCAAATCATTTAATCCCTCTCTGCCTCAGTTTCCTCAACTGTAAAATGGAGACAATAATAGCCCCTACCTTTCAGGGTTGTTGTGACACTGGTGCAGGCCATCATCTCAAGCCTTGATAATTTCAATAGCCTATTGGGCCAGAAGGTCTGCTTTTCTTAAGTATCTCCCCACTCCAAAGCATGCTCCATTCTACCACTAAAGCAAGTTTTCCAAAACACAGGTCCAGTCATATCACCTTTTTATTAAATAAATTCTGGTGGCTTCCAATTGCCTCCAGGATCAAATACAAAAACCTCCTTCCTATTTTTCTAGTCTTCTCACACCTTACTCCCTGATATGTACTCTGTGATCCAGTGACACTGGCCTCCTTGCTGTTCCACAAACAAGATGCTCCGTCTCTCAGCTGTGGGCATTTTCTCTGGTTAACTCCAATGACTGGACCTCTCTCCCTCCTTTGCTCCAACTCTGCTGATCTCCCTTTAAGTCCCAACTAAAATCCCACCTTCTACACAAAGCCTTCCTAATCCCTCCTTAATTCCAATGGCTCCCCTCTGTTATTTCCTATTTATCCTGGATATATACCTTGCTTGCATCTATTTGTTTGCATGTTGTCTGCCCCATTAGATTATAAGCTCCTTGAAGACAAAGACTGCCTTTTGCTTCTTTTTGTATCCCCAATACTTAGTACAATTCTTAGAACTTAGCAAGCACTTCACAAATGTTTATTGATTGATTGATTAAACATTTATTCATGTGTCTAGCATACAATGGGTGCCTAATAAATATCCTGACAGGCTAGTTAGATTATTAGGCTGAATCTAATAAGTTAAAATTAACCAGAGATCATAGAATCATATATTTAGAGATGGATGAGACCTTAGATATTATTTGATCTGATTACATCATTCTACTGATAAGGACACTGAGTTCTAGAGATGGTGAGTGATATGCCCACAGGCAAAATGGCAGTGAGGAATGAGATGGGATTCAAACCTAGCTACTCTGACTTCAAGTCATACTTCTTTTCAAATAACCACCTCACCACCCAAGATAAATGTAAAATCATGTTTGGGTCCAAAAAGTCAACTTCACCAGGATAAGATGGAGGAGGAAGTGCTAGGGAGCAGTTCAACTGAAAAAGAGAATTGGGAGTTATAGTGGACTATAAGCTGAGTGTATCCATGGTATTGATGGGGTAGCCAAGAAAGCTAATGCAATCTCAGTCAACATTAAAAGAGGTATGATTTCCAAGAATAAGGAGGCAACGTTATCGAGAATGGATTTGGAATGGAATGAGAATTGAGGCACAGAAACCAAGTACAAGGGAATTGTAATGGTTCATGTGAGAGGAGATACATAGGATATTTCTCTATTCATTTCTGGGCTCATTCAACTCATTATCCATCCACAGTGTCTGCTCTGGTTTTTGTTTTCTGTTTTTTGTTTTGTTTTGTTGTTTTCTTTTGGCTTGGCAATGGGGTTAAGTGACTTGCCCAGGGTCACACAGCTAGTAAGTGTTATGTGTCCGAGGCCAGATTTGAATTCAGGTCCTCTTGAATCCAGGGCCGGTGCTCTACCCACTGCACCACCTAGCTAAACCCCCCATCCATGGTATCTGTCCAACATAGAGGATGGTTTAATAAGGGTAATGGCTACACGAGAAGGTGGCATCTATGAGAGATGTTATAGAGATAGAAATGATTAGGTTTGGCAATTGATTGTGTATATTGGATGAATAAGAATGAAGAGTCAAGTATGGCAACTCAGGCTGTGAATCTGAGTGATTGGAAGGATGGTGGTAATGGGGAAGTTCAGAAGGTAGAAAGGTTTGGAGGTGGGAAAGATGATGAGTTCTGTTCTAGATATGTTGAGTTTGGAATGTTTATGAGATGCCCAGTTAGAAATCAGCTACAGACCCTCCTCTGGCTATATTTTTGTATGGCCATATTTTTGATACTGTTTGTCCTTAAGGTGTAAATGGGCAAGGGATAATGTATATTATATTCACTTTCTACATATCAATCAACAGCTGCTATTGAATGCCTATGAGGGGCTTGCCGTTATGCTGACCATCATAAAATGATGCTAGAATAAAATGTCATTTTCTGAGTAATTTGCAAAAGTCTAACACCAATAACTAGTTGGTGGCTCTATTGACAACACGTATACTGTTGTGGATTTGGTAGATAAGCAAAGTAGATGGCATGCACTCTAATTTAAATGGAAAGAGTGTTGGGCCTGCAAACAGAAGAGACTTGGATTCAGAAAGCTGTAGACCCTACATCCCAGGGGAGTTGTAGAACTCAAAAGAAACAAAGTATATGCAGGGCTTTTCAATGTTTAGGTACCAACTTAAGTACTAACAATGCTTAAGTACTAATTTAAGTACTAACAATGTTTAAGTACTAACTATAATTACTATTATTATTTATTTAGTCTTAGCACAGTAGTTGAAAAAATGCTGATCTGATCCAGAAGAAAAGAATCTAAAACTTCTCCATTATCCAACATTGCTCATAAGAGAGAACTCCAAAACTGTGGGCCCGCTGTATTTATGTATGAAAAGTCTAGGAATTACAGATGATAGAAAAAACTATGACCTTTCCCCCTGAGCTTAGCTTATTTTCTTCATTCACTTGATTTACATGGAAGAATAGGAGAGACTTACGGTCTGAAAACTGGGGAGTGCAAGTCCCAGAGTTGTTGGATGGTGGTTGAGCACATAACCATTACCTGGTTTATAGTCTAGCCATCAAAGGTTAAAAATTTGGAAGTATATGGAATGATTACCATAAGCGGAAGGTGAGGTCTCTGAGAGACACATATAGAAAGACAGACACACAAAAATATAGACAGAGGCAGAGGCACAGACAGAGAAAAGGAGAGAAACAGAGCCTCAAAATTCTGAGTTGGGAAGAGGAGTCTAAAGAAAAGACTAAACCTATAGACATTATCTACTGAGACAACCAGATCTTTGTTCTTAAGACCTTGGTTTATGGGCCTAAAAATCTACTGCTGTGGAGATGAGAGGGCTTCATGCCCAAGATTCTGAAAGAGATAAAACCAAGGGAGCTACTATCATCACCATCATTATTGCTGTTGCTATAGCAAGGGTTTTCTGCCTTTTGCTAAAAGAACAAGAGAGAGAGTACATGAACTTTAAGCTGACAGAGCATAGAAACACTCATGTTTTCCTTCAGAAAAAGATAGCCAAAGACTTCAGTTGATCCAGAAGCTGAGTCAGTAGCTGGCAAAAACGTAAGCACCCTGTCAGTGTAATAGTATCTAGTGTTGACTATAAGTCCAGAAAATGGAGCAGCATTTTCTAGAGACTATAAGAGAGGGAAGACCCTGGGGAAAAGGTGAGTAGCATGGTAACAATGCTAGAAAGTATTAGCAACCCAGTAGCATTCAAGGCATGAGTTGCACCTCCACTTGTGCACTGTGGCTATCCATGTTCCCTGTATTGGTACCACTCTATAAGTGTCCCCTACAACAATCCAAGGTCAGCTAGGTGGAGCAGTGGATTTGGAAAAAGGAAGAGTCCTCTTCCTTAGTTCAAATCTAGCCTCGGATACTTACTAGCTGTATGTTCCTGGGCAAGTCACTTAACCCTGTTTCCCTCAGTTTCCTCATCTGTAAAATGAGCTGAAGAAGGAAATGGCAAACCACTCCATTCTCTTTGCCAAGAAAATCCCAAATGGGGTCACAAAGAGTCATACACTACTGAAATGACAGAAGAACAAAAACCACATGAATCCATGTTTCCTACCAATGCTATATGTATTTATGGGAGAACATACCCCAAATTTATGGGTGAAATGTATTGTTACTACTTTCCTTCTAATTCCATTTCGTTATATGCCTTTGTTTTGTACTAGTTGAATCCTCCAACTCTTCATGATCAATGCACCAGTGGGGCTAATAAGCTATGGTTTTAAATGTGTGGCCCATGGAGTAGCTGTCCACTGGGGGACCTACTCTGTCAGTTGGAGAGTGCTCAAGGGCACTATATAAATAACAAAGAATGTTAAATACTGCAATTTAGAGTTGCATTTACTCATATGTAAGATGCAGGTACTGTGAATCATAGCTTTTACTCAATCCTT